ACTTGCATTTGAGGCTGAGATGATTTATGCGCCCATATGCATTTGACACTAATGAAACCCCAATTGGCAAACATTCAATTCAGAAAATTCATACAACAAAATCCTTACACATTTCAGTAACTGATACACAGCAATGCTGACGCTGATTTAATTCGAAATGTGCTCAAAACTCACCCACTTTAAGTGAAGGTACTTGACGTTATCAAGCCTGGGTAGAACTGAAATGGCTACAGAGACGAGATCAAGCTTTGTTAGATTAGAGATGGCTAGAGGAAGAGTAACTGACGGCGTGCGAGTGAGTATTGGGAAAGGTGAAACCGGTGCACTAGTTCGCGCATCCCCAATGCCTCCTGTTGCCGCTACAGCAGCTGCAGCAGCCGAAACACCAGAGAGCAATGTGTTGATCGGAGGTCTACGCAGATGCGTCATCACCCCACCACTGGTGTTACTCCACGCACTGCCTCTCACTCTCCGCCCTGTATTCAAATCATTTCGCGCTTGCATACCCTCCGGCGACACAAACGCTGTAGCGATAGCGAACGCCATCATCGACCCGTACGCGCTCTGCTCCCCGCCCGCATTTGATGACGAAAGTGATGTTGCTGACAGAGGTGGTTCTGTCAATGGCGCTTCCTGATTGACGTTACGTTGAGTTTGCATGTGGAAGTGTGGTTGAAGAAAGACGCGATGAGTGTGGGGATAGAGGTAGGTGTACTGTGGACAGCACGGTGATCCCTGAAGTTGTGGCACTTCCCCTACGGGTTCAAACCACCTTGCTAATCGAGCTCCGCTAGCAGCAGCTCGCTGAACGAAAGTAGCCGCGGCACAGGCAAGATTATTTCCAGTCGAAGAAGAGGTGGAAGGACCAGCTGATGGACTAGGCAGTGGAGCAGGCTCTGGTGGCATAGGAACCGCATATTCGCTATCCCAACTGTCAGGTCGATTTCGAAACATACCATGGAACTTAACATTAGGCAGACGGTTCACAAGGAGGCTCATCAGACCTACATCCATCAACTCGACCGAGCGGAGTTTTGTGCAACTCCGAAATGCTTCAAACACCCCATCGTAGGTGAGAGCATGGGCGATGTGCTGCAACTCAGGTGAAGTGTTGTCGTAAATGCGACGAGGATAAAAACCAAGAATGTGGGTGACCTCGGGGGTGTAGGTTAGAATGCGCCTTAACGCAGTGTCGTCAAGCTTTCTCGGCAGGTATGCAAAGGGCAATCCCGAGCTGAAGTTAATCCGTTTTAGTGTACTCAGATGCCTTGCCGTGATGATCTTCAGTCGCTTATTGAGGCACTGAAGGGAGAAGAGGTCTTGAACACTGAGATATTGGATGATGCGGAGAATGAGTTCGAAGGGAAGACTATCTAACTGGCGAGGAGCAGCTTGCCTCTCCTCCCACTCTCTGCGTAACTGCTCCTGACGGATCCTTGAGCGCAGAGGGTAGATATGCGGTTGAGCCTCGGCTGCTGTATCGACGTCCATATTCAGCTCTATATTAACTCCCACTTTCAGTACCTTCCGAGCGAGCTTCTTTGGATGTTCACGCAAAACCGGTTCAAGTTTCCTTTTTCCACGTTTACTGGAGACGGCAGTAACAACGCCGACTACAGAAAGAAATGAGTAAAGGGAATTGTACGAATAAATGAATAGCCAAAGATCAGAAAATCATAAATCTGTTGGGAATGGCACGAACTCACTGCGTTTGCGGGTAACCTTGGAAGATGACTTTCGGAAATTTGAAAGGGATGAGGAAGAACTCTCATTATAAAGACCCTGGGAGGATGAATCATCCGTCGCCCGATGTTGTGCGGAAAGGACGAGCTCTCCTGGTGACGGGAGCATAGAAAGGGGCTCGAGAACGGTATCAACGAGGGAAGTGACAGAGGAGAAGCTTGAAAGACTGGACTTGGGAAGGCGAGTGGTTGTGCATGCACCAACCACCTGTTGCCTAAATGCTGCGTCCACGGGGAGAGCTGAAGATGAAGTGGAAGGAATGGAGGAATCACAGCTAATTGAACGAGGAACGATGGAAATGGTGGAGGAAAGAGATCGTTGAATATTCTTGTCAACAGCGATAACAGTAGTCGCAGAATCGCAGGTAGATTCAGGGTCTGGAAATGACGTTGATGGCAGTTTCGCGACTTGATCGTCTTCATTTTCGCTGTTGTTGCCTTCATCATTACTCTGTGGAGTCTGTGTTCCTGAACCATCATCGTCGACACGAACGCTAACTTGCACTGCAGCAACTTCTTCAACTGCTGTCTTAATAGCTTCCATGCGAGAGTTGGAATCAGACTCTCCCGAATCACCAAAACACTTACTACCACCTCCCGATACAAAATTAGCGTTACAGATGGCATCAGTAGCGGGATTTGCAACGGGAAGAGTATCATGAATGCTGTTTCCAACTGAAGATCTGTTCCTACGTGACTTTCTACATGGCTGCTGGGTGTCAGAGCCCCCTAAAGAGGCTCCACTACCATAGCGATGACGTTTTTGTCGTCCACCACGGAGAATCCCATTATCGACTGAGGTGGGTGAACTGACAGAATTGCTACGCCTGGGAAGACCTCCAGAACTTTGTTGTTGTGACTGGTTGGGAGAAGCAGAGCCATTCTTCAGTGCTGAGTGGTTGATGCGCATAGGCATTTCAAGGAACACAAAGCGGATCCAAGTAAGCAGCACGCACCTGCAAAACTAAAACAGAACAGTATGATAAAATTTGCACCAAACACAAAATGCTGTCAGTCACCTTTACATAAGGCAAATGACTGCCGAGAAAGTAGGCCTTAATCAACAAAAAGGCCAAGGTAAGGGAGAAGCAAAGTAGTA